TTTTTTTGATTATTGACCATTAGAAATATTAAAAATGATATGTTTTATACTATCAATAGATTGGTATTTGAAGTTATTAACTCTAACTAAAATTCATTTTACTTAAAATTTGAACTTTCACCCAAACCAAATAAATTAGATTTCAAATGATTTCATGTTCTGATTTCATTATAGATTGATGGATTTAGCTGTCAATGTGCATCGGGATTTCATGGCTTTCTATGTCAACATATGACCGATCATTGCGCCACATCACCATGTCGAAATGGTGCAATATGTGTGAATCAGGGGGCGCAATATATGTGTGAATGTTTACTTGGTTTTGAAGGTTATTAAATTTAATTGAAATTTTTTAATTTTTAGCTTTATCATCCAGAAAATCATTTATTAAAATTGGGTCAAATTTTCCGAATGAATTATAAAAATTTGAAATTTTATATTTAAATAAAATGTAAGATTCATTTCCAGATAAAATAATCAATTAGCTTATTTAATATATCAAACAATTTTAATGCATAATTTAACAAAGTTTTTAGTTTTGTTTAAAAAAAAAGTTTGTAGTTTAAAATTAAAAAACAAAAAAATAATTTAATTTTGTTTTATTTTTAGGTGCACATTGTGAGCATAATAGAAATGAATGTGATTTATTGCATAAATGCTCACAAGAAGGTACCGAACTTTGTGAAGATTTAATTAATGGTTACAAATGTAACTGTCGTCATGGCTATACTGGAGAATTATGTGAAATTCACGTTGATCAGGTAATTAGAGCTATAATCTTCTTCAATGCTTTCTTTTTTTTTTCCTAAAAATTAAACTTTTTGATTTCTAGACTTATGAAAAAAATTAAAATTTAATTATTTCAATTTTAAATTTATAATAAAAAAAAAAATAATAATAGGAAATTTTTCAGTGCGCATCTGAACCATGTCTTAATAATGGTACATGTGTAGATATTGGTTCACAATTTCGGTGTGATTGTCCACGTGGTTGGAAAGGTAGCAAATGTGAGGAAGAGGATGGCTTATGTGCATTAAATCCATGCCATAATGATGCACATTGTGTTAATCTTGTCGGTGATTATTTTTGTGTATGTCCGGAAGGTGTTAGCGGAAAAGATTGCGAAATTGCACCAAATCGTTGTCTCGGTGAACCATGTCATAATGGTGGTGTTTGCGGTGATTTTGGTTCACATTTAGAATGCAATTGTCCAAAAGGTATCAATGATCAAAATATGTTATCAAAATTTTTTGAAGAATATATTGAAATTAATGTATGCTTATTTAAATTGTCAAAAATGTGCAAATAATTTTTTTAAAGATTTGATCTAATTACATTCAATTATTATTTTTTAAAGATTTGATCTAATTAAATTCAATTATTATATTTATAAATGATTACAGATTATACAAACAGTTATTATGCTAGAAGTATAAGCAAGCATAATATAAAATTGATAAAATGTTGGAGT